GAAATAATAAGCATAATCCCTATCGTCAATATTCTGGAATTGAGAGGAAGCAATCTCATAATTAAAACAAAAAGAAAGAAGGATTTGGTGTTGAGTGCACCAGGAACAAGACAAGGCAGAGGTCAGCCCCATCTGAGCTCAAGGGCTAGCTCACTGCACCGAAACTACAACCTTACCTGTCAGGCTCTTCTTCCACATGGTGAGCCCAGAGGACCCATTTCTTATTCATATTCCCCATCCTTAGCCTTGAAGTTGGTTCATAAAAGGGACCTAATACATATGATCTGAATGCCATGGTATCTAAGACTTCACTCACTGAACTAGCCTAGAACTAAGCGAATGGTAGAAAGGATGACTTGTTAAATGAATAATTGCAATCTATAAAAAAGCAAAGGAGACTTCAAAGAATGTGCTAGGCAGGGAGGCAATAGTTCCTGGGGAGTCCTTGGGCCCCAGGGTATGTGCAGAACCCTTACAAAAGAGAAATATTCCTTAATATCCTGGACAGAGAACCTCCAAGAGAAAGAATGGAGTGTCCTCATCAAATACTCATTGGATAAAAAGTATGTGCCTATACAAACACTGTTCAAGAGTGATCACACAATAGAAAAGACACAAATATCTTTGCTCTCATGGAGCTTGCATTCTTGTGGAAGGGAGAGAGAATATTAAAAAAAAGAAAATACAAATATAAAGTATGCTAGATGATTAGCATTACAGAGAAAAATAAACTCAAGGGCAGCTGAATGTACAAGGATGGGAATGGAGGCTGGGGCAGCCACTCTGAAAACCAGTATGGAGGCTCCTCAAAAAGTTAAAAATAGAGCTACTCTATGACCCGGCAATTGCACTACTAGGTATTTATCCAAAGGATACAAACATAGTGATTCAAAGGGGCACCTGCACGCCAATGTTTATAGCAGCAGTGTCCACAGTAGCCAAACTGTGGAAAGAGCCCCAATATCCACCAACAGATGAATCGATAACAAAGATGTGGTACATATATACAATGGAATACTACTCAGCCATCAAAAAGAATGAAATCTTGCCATTTGCAACAGTGTGGATGGAACGAGAAGGTATTCTGCTAAGGGAAATAAGTCAGTCAGGAAAAGGCAAATACCATAGATTTCATTCATATGTGGAATTTAAGAAACAAAGCATGAACATAGGGGAAGGAAGGAAAAATAAAATAAGATAAAAATAGAGAGGGAGACAAATCATAAAAGACTTTTACCTCTCAGTAACAAACTGAGGGTCTCTGGAGGGCAGGTGGGTGGAGGATGGGGTAATTGAGTGATGGGCATTAAGGAGGACACTTGATGGAATGAGCACTGGGCGTTATATGGAACTGATGAATCACTAAGTTCTACCCCTGAAACAATAATATGGTAACTAAATTGAATTTAAATTTTTTTAAAAGGCAGTTGAATGTATAAGAGTGAGGGTTGGGGATGAGGAAAGAGTGGCCCCCTTTGAGAGGGAATGTGTGCATTAAATACCTTTTGGAGTTTTTTTTTTTTAAGTGAGCTACGGCACACCTGGGAGAAGTGCTTCCAGACAGAGGGCACTACTAGTGTACAAGCCCTAGTCTATTCAAAAAATAGCCAGGCCGGCATAGTTTGAACAAAATGAACCAGTCTGGGGACAGTGATAGAAAATTAGGTCAAAGAGATCAAAATAAGCAAATCATTTTGATCCTTATAGGCCATTGTAACTGTTTTGGTTTGATTTGAGTTTTGTTTTTGTTCCAACATTTTTATCTGAAATATAACACACAACGACTTTCTCCATAGTTTGGCTACTGTGGACACTGCTGCTATAAACATTGGCGTGCAGGTGCCCCTTTGAATCACTATGTTTGTATCCTTTGGATAAATACCCAGTAGTGTAATTGCTGGGTCATAGGGTCACTCTATTTTTTACTTTTTGAGGAGCCTTCACACTGTTTTCCAGAGTGGCTGCACCAGCTTGCATTCCCACCAGAGGTATTGGATTCCCCTTTCTCCACATCCTCGCCAACATATGTTGTTTCCTGACTTGTTAATTTTAGCCACTCTGACAGATGTGAAGTGGTATCTCTGTGGTTTTGACTTGTACTTCCCTGACACCACGTGATTTTGAGCATTTCTTCATGTCTGTTGGCCATGTGTAGGTCTTCTTTTGAGAAATGTCTGTTCATGTCTTCTGCCCATTTCTTGACTGGGTTATTTGGTTTTTGGGTGTTGAGTTTCATAAGTTCTTTATAGATTTTGGTTACTAGCCCTTTAACTGATAAGACACTTGCAAATATCTTCTCCCATTCTGTAGGTTGTCTTTTAGTTTTGTTGACTGTTTCCTTTGCTGTGCAAAAGCTTTTTATCTTGATGAAGTCCCAATAGTTCGTTTTTGCTTTTATTTCCGTTGCCTTTGAAGATGTGTCTACCAAGAAGTGGCTGTGGCCATGGTTGAATAGGTTGCTATCTATGTTCTCTTCTAGGATTTTGATGGATTCCTGTCTCACATTTAGGTCTTTCATCCATTTTGAGTTTCTTTTTGTGTATGGTGTAAGAAAATGGTTCAGTTTCATTCTTCTGCAAGATGTCCACCAACAGATGAGTGGATGAAGAAGATGTGGTGTATATACAGTGTAATATTACCCAGCCAACAAAAACAATGAAATCTTGCCATTTGCAACAACATGGATGAAACTAGACAGTATTATGCTAAGTGAAATAAGTCAATCAGAGAAAGACAATTATCATATGATTTCATTCGTGTGTGAAATTTGAGAAACAAAACAGATGATCATAGGGGAGGGGAAGGAAAAATAAAGTAGGACAAAATCAGAGAGGGAGACAAACCATGAGACTCTTAACTCTAGGGAACAAACTGAGGGTTGCTGGAGGGGAGGGGAGTCGGGGGGTAGGATACCTGGGTGATGAGCATTAAGGAGGACACTTGATGTAATGAGCCTTGGGTGTTATACTGATGAATCACTAAGCTCTACCTCTGAAACTAGTAATACACTATATGTTAATTAATTGAATTTAAATTTTTAAAAAGAAAAGAAATATAACACACAATAAGAAAACTGTGCAAATCCTAAGTGTGAACTCAATCAATTATCATAAAATGAATAAATCTGTGTATCCAGGCACAGGTCAAGAAATAGAACATTAGCAGCACCCCAGAATTCCCTATTTATGCTTCTTCCTACCTACCCTCTCCCTCCTCCTCAAAGGTAACCACTGTCCTGACTTCTAGCAGCAGATTTGTTTTGCCTGTTTTAAAACTCTCAATAAATGGAACCAGTAATAAAAAATAAAAGCAAATTAAATCTTTGCTCAAGATTTTGCTTGTGATATTCATCCATGTGGTTCCTGGAGGGTACAAGGGTTAAGACGACAGATAAGGTCACATTAAACTCCTGATGGGAAAGATGGGGTACAGAGGATAACTGCTGCCAGTGTCCCTGTGCCTAGCATCCACATGGCAATCCAGGAAGGAGAAAGGACACATGAGCTCACCCAGGAGCTGAGCATCAGGCTCTCAAGAGATATTTCCTCCCAGCTCAGATCTTCTCCTAAGAAGTAAGAGATACGAAGAGGGTTGGGGCCATGATTGCATTTATTTCTTCACTGATTCACTCAAACCTTTCCAGGTCCTACTTCATGTTAGGCACAATACTGAGATACAAAGAAAATTAAGGCATGGTCAGTTAGACAAACGAGTAAACAGGACTATAAAATAGTGTGGTAAGTGCTAAGTTTCTGCCAAAGATGCTAAAGAAGCATCGTCTTTAAGAATTGTTATGACTGGGATCCCTGGGTGGCGCAGCGGTTTGGCGCCTGCCTTTGGCCCAGGGCGCGATCCTGGAGACCCAGGATCGAAGCCCACGTCGGGCTCCCGGTGCATGGAGCCTGTTTCTCCCTCTGCCTGTGTCTCTGCCTCTCTCTCTCTCATTCTATGTGACTATCATAAATAAATAAAAATTAAAAAAAAAGAATCGTTATGACTATTTCACCTCTCTTTCTCAAACATTAATAGCTCTGATATAGACTCATGAGATTATGGCCATTATCTGTTTCTTTGAAATTATGTTTATTACTTTTTTTAAATTGATTTATTTATTTTAGATATATATATAGAGAGAGACGTTGTGTGAGCAGGGGGAGGGGCAAGGGGAGAGAATCCTCAAGCAAACTGCCTGCTGAGCACAGAGCTGAGATAATGATCTGAGCCAAAATCAAGTCAGACACTCATCCAAATGAACCTCCCAAGTGCCCCTTATAGTTACTGTTTTTGTATCGATCAGTTTTATCCCCTCAGTTGGGCTAAAGTCATTTTGAGAATAGGAAAGATGTCTTCTGGTATCGCAAAAAGAGCACAAGGTAGCTGAAGTCAAAATAGTTGGGTTTGAATCCTGACTCTTGTTCTTTATCTGTACAAGGCTGGGAGAATGAATTAAACTCTCTATGCCTCAGTTCCTTTATCTATAAATGGAGATAGTAGTATCCACCCTAACTGCCTCCCAGAATTATATCAGCATCAAAATAAATAATGAATAAGAAGAGCTGTAAATTCTTATTATCAGTCCAGTCCTCTAAACCCCACAATCCTACTTCTTTGGACATAGTAGGTAATCAGTAAGTGTTAAGGTTTCATTAAACTTCATCAGCAAAGACTTGTGGTTTTGGAGCCAATGCCAGGGAGTGGATGCAGTTCCCTGTCCCTGTCATACCCAGAGAACTCAGATGCTGGAATCAGATATTGTGGCCATGACCTAGGAGTGACTGGCCAGTGTGAGAGGGTGGACTGGGCCAGAACCATCTGAGCCACACATTTTTGGGGGGGTGATTGTCCACTTCAAAACTTCTCCTAACTCCTATTTCTCTTGCTCATATCTCTGGGCTTCGGTATCAGCAGGCTCTAACAGACAGGCAATTAGGGGAAAGGGTGTGGGTGGCAGGGAATGGGGAGAAGGGGTGGTGATAGCAGCTTCCCTTCTGTGCTTACAGGGAACACAGCTTCACAAGACAGCTCAAACCCACAGACGATGAATGGGATTCTGGGGGAGTCGGTAACTCTTTCCCCGAAGCTTCCTGTAGGGGAAGATATTCAGTCCATCACCTGGATTCACAGCGGAAGATCTCTCATCATCACAATACCAAAAGATGAACAGGTCTTAGTGACTGATCCAAAATGGAAACATCGACTGCAATCCTTGGAGAACTACTCCTTACGACTCAGCAACCTGACAATGGAAGACGCAGGACTTTACTGTGCCCAGATAACCATACCAACAGCTTCAGAGCTTTCCTGTTATACTCTGAAGATCTTCAGTGAGTCAAAGTGTGGGGTTTAATTGTGTATGGACTGAAAGGTATCATGTATGTCAGATCCTATGTGAGAGCAAGTATACACTGTAGCCTAGTGGTGAAGAGGCTGGGATTTGCCCTCAGACTGAGGTCTGGCAGTAAGGCACATCAATGGCGTTGCTCAGCCAGGTAGTGACAGAGTGGAGAAGAGGACCTACGTCTTGTGACTCCTGGCCCCAAATCACATCACTCTCACACACCAAAATAGTCCCTCTCGGGGCACCTGGGTGGCTCGCTCAGTTGAGTGTCTACCTTAGGCCTGGGTCGTGATCCTGGGGTCCTAGGATGGAGCCCCATGTGGGGGGGGGGTCCCTGCTCAGTGGGGAGCCTGCTTCTCCCCCTCCCTCTGCCTGCTGCTCCCCCTACTTGTGTTCTCTCTCTTTCTCTCTCTCTCTGTCTGTCAAATAAATAAATTAAATCTTTAAAAAATAAAAACAGATAATAAAATAGTCCCTCTCAACTAGACGTTTAATGGAAGTAACAGATGTGACTAAGACTCTATTACCTTGAACATTACGTGTATCTGTAGTATAATCTTCACAGCAGCTCCATGAGGCAGGCAATACCCTTATCCCTGAGGCTTCCAGTCAGTTCCAGCAACCTGCCTACAGTCATGGAGACAGTAAGTGGGAGAGCACCTGGCATGATACCTCCCTTTACACAAAAGCCAGTCTGACCCCATGGAGAGATCGGTGTACAGAACAGTGGTTTACCTAGAAAGTGCTCTATAAGGACGAGCTGATAATAAGAAAGATTCTTTCTATCAAGTTTATTTAATTTGTGACAATATGGCTCATGACGTCCACATAAGATTATGGAAACTATGAGACAGCTTGTGATTCAGTATTAGGAAAAAAAATCCTTCTAGCAATCAGCGATGTTCAGAGATACCATGAATGGCTTTAAAATAATCACTTAGTAGAAATGTTGTACAGAAGATTCAAGCACTCAACTGCCAACTTTAAATGCCACCAAGATTCTGTAATTCTTATCCGCTCCAGAACCCATGGCACCTAAAATTCACCCAGATTCCTTTGGGTTAAGACACGGAATCCAAAAAAGCACTTTAGTTAAAATAAAATGTCACCACAAATAGGTTACATGTGAACCTTTAGAATCCCCTGGATATTTAGCAGATGTACCGTGTTAGATTCGTCATAGTTATGTCCCTGAATGAGTAAGACACAGAACAGGTAAATATAATGGGAAAGAGAGATTGTCTAGAAAGGTCTGCCATGGGGATTCCAACCAAAGGGGCAAAAAATCACGCTGGGGCAGTGCATCAGTTTCCTGAGGTTGCCAAAAGAAAACACCACAAATTTGGTGGCTTAACAAAACAGAAATTTTATTCTCTCACAATTCCAGAGGCCGAAAGTCCAAAATCAAGGTGTGGGCAGTGCCACAGTCCCTTGGAAGACTCTATAAGGCAATCTGTTGTGTCTTCCTGCTTCTGGGTGCTGTTGTCATTCCTTGGTGTTTGCTGGCCTGTGGCTGCATCACACCAGTCTCCGCCTCCTCCTTTCCCTGTGTTGTCCTCTTTTCTCTGCTTTCCTCTTACAAAGACCCTTTCCACTGGATTTAGGGCCCACCAGATAATCCAGAATCATCTCCTCATCTCACTTAAGTACATCTACAAAGACCTTTTTCCAAATAAGATTCTGGGAATTGGGACACGGAGATATCTTTTGGCAGAGGGGTAAGGGGTGTCATGATTCAACTCACTACAGGCAGAGTCACTCTGGGTGACCAGGATCATCAAGGCAGAGCTAGGACCCCAGAGAGAAGAGAAACACCCAGTAGAAAGTCTGAGAATAGACCCCATGTCAGGCTCCATCATACTTGTTGAGATAATGTTCCTCTGCCACTATTCAGAAGACCAAGCACGACTTCTTCTGCAATCACCATACTCCCCAGGTTCAACGCCAACCTCTTCTCAGGCCTTATAGCATCAGGAGTGCCAGGGAACAGGGGTGAGTTCGACATGGAGTCGTCACTGAGTAGATAGCATCTGAGCCAAGACCTGTTGGAGGTGAGGGAGTGAGCCATGCATATTTGAATGACAAGCCATCCAACATAGGCTCAAAGAACACCAAGGAAGTCAAACACCAAGGAGCAGAGTGAGGGAGAGAGTAACAGGAAACAAGGTCAGTAAAGAAATAGAGGCACATCAGGTAAGACTCTGAGAGCCGTCCCAGGGACTTTGGCTTCTACTCTATGAGGCTGAGAATCATCAGAGGGTTTTGTAGAGTGGGAGTATGATTTGACTTACTTGCTTAAAAGATCACTCTGGCTGCTCCGTTCAGGGGACAGCGGTAGAAGCCAATGTACTAACTAGGCCGCTGTGGCAATCCAAGCACGCCATGCTGCTGCTTTGCACCAGGGTGGTAGCAGCAGACGTAAGGAGAAGGGGTTGGACCTGGCTGTATTTTAGAAGGAAAGCCACCAAGATATCCTGAAGTGGTACAAGATGAAGAGGTGACTAAGGGATGGCTCCGGGGCTCTTGGCCTGAGTGACTGGAAAGGTGATTATCAACTAGGATGCAGAAAGCTACAGACTGAGTAGGTTTTGGAGAGAAAAACAGGAATCCTTTTGAACATGTTGAGTTTGAGACACACGTTATGTCCAAGTGGAAAAATCACATAAGCAGTTTTATATTTATTATGTGGAAAAAGGTAACAAGATAGATTTTTGAGGTCACCCATGGACACAGGTCGCAGGAAATGTGGTCTTCATGCCAAATGGTTGCCATTTGCTGTTCTAGGCACTGTCTCATTTAATCCTCATAATTCCCTAAGAAGTTGAGATTATTGCTCGGTTTTCCAGATCAGGAAACCCAGGCTTAGAGAGATTAAAAACATATCCGTGGTCATGTAACCAGTAAGTGACAAAGCCATGAGTCTCACCGAGATCTTCCTAACTCCAAATTCAACACTTGCCATTACACGAAATCTGTCAAAATATGTCCCACTTCCTACTCCATTAACTAAGCTTAGAACATTCCTCAGTATCTTCCCACCAGATGGTTGGAGTCATTCAGTTCTTTATTGGGCCACTGTTACCCTCAGGCCAAGTCCAGATCAGTGACCTTTCCGTACCGCCTGCCACGACCCCATCGATTCACGGCTGCTAACATCCTAATAGCCAATGCTTTCTGGTCTCTGCTCTCAGAAATTCCTACAGCAGATGCTTCCTCACATGCCTGAATATATTGTACTTCTTTGCTCCCTAGAGTTGCTTGCTTGCTCAATCACTTTCACTTCTTGCCCTAGTTTTTAGGTTCTCAACGTTGCCCTTTCTGTCGTGCCGACATTCCAGATCAGTCTCTTTTCATCATCGGAGCCAGCATCAGATACAGTGAGGACCAGGATTCCCGCAGACTTGTGAGAAATACAGTTCCTAAAGGACATGGAGCTTTTATCTTCCACCCCAACTAGGGAGTTCTGATGGTGGAGAAAACAGGGCTCTCCAGTCTGGTCTACCGGTTTCTGCCCTGGCTAGGGTCGAGTTGGCCCTCGGCTGAATCCCCAAATGTCTTCACACAAGGCCAGTGTCCAGGGCTAGAAAGGACCCCAGGAATAAACTGGGGCCCAGAAAGGAAACTGAGCAGCCCAGAATCATCTAACTAGTTGGTGGCTACCCTGGTGTGTCCCTTTCCACTTCTCCCTCTGGCTACTTCGTCTCACACTGATGCCCCTCCTCATTTGGTCACCCCAGACCCTGGTGCCATGGATGAGTCGATTTACAGACCATAACATACGGTGGAGCGCTGGGTGGAACATGGAAACATTCTGTGTTGGGAAAGGTATTTTTCACAGAGGCCTGAACCAAGCCATCTGGACTTAGTTTGGGTCTTTTCTCTGCACACAGGGCGACTGAGTGTCTTAAATATTACTGTGCACCCTGGGCTGTCCAAGACCGGGACCTGCGAGGTCCACCTGGCCTGCTCTGTGGAGAACTCACATGACGCTCTATTAAAATGGCACGGTGCAGGGAACACGTCTATATATGAAGCCAACCTCACCATCTCCTGGGACCCCAGGAATCCCAGTGAACAAAAGTACACCTGTGTGGCTGAGAATATTGTCAGCAGCACATCCTCCTCTGTCTCCATCCAGAGTCTCTGCGAAGGTAACAGTCTGTCTCAGGCCCCTCTGGGAGCTTTGAGCAGCTGTGGGGTGTGGCGTGTCCTTCCTGCCCAAGGTGATTCCCCACAACAGTGGCCCAGTGGGAAGTGGCCTGAGCACTGCGGGGGGAGGACAGAGACTCCTGCAGCTCTGTACCTCTCACTACCTCCAGAGGCCTCTCCTCCCTCCCTCCCCCTCCCCCTCCCTCCAACCCACTCAGAGCCCAGGAGCAAAGTCCTTGGGAAGTCAGAACTGCCCCAGTCCCCCCCCCCAACCGCCCGTGGCTCTACCAGGCTCCCGCCTGCCTGCCACATGGACTCCCACTCCCAGAAGGGCTGCCCAGAGCCAGAGCCCAGCCAACCCCCATAGGGGGCCTAGAAGAGGCTCAGTGGAAGTTCTGAAGGAAATACTCTCTGTGTCTCAAGTGCAACTTCTTTTTTCTTTTTTCAGGTTTTTTGAATCAGAAAAATCAACATCTTGATACCATATGGATTATAGTTGTGGCTATTTTGATGTTTACAGTCATCCTTGTGGGGTTATTTGTTTGGAGGAAAAAAGGTTGTTTGTGTAGGACAGGTAAAGTGAGGGAGGATTGTCTGTGGAGACAACCCCTGGGATGTGGCCACACACCTGCTAATTTCCCAAGGGAGGTGGGTCCTACCGGAAAATGTGCAACCAAGCCTCAAGGCCTGGCTGCCCTTCTCCTTCAGGCGCCCCCTCCACCACATCCTCTAGAGAGATACCTGTGGGCGTGGGATAGGGTGTGGGAGCCTGTCTCACTACACTCACAAATGTCAATTTCCCGGATTTTATTTTTCAGGCATCTTTCATTTCTCTACTCAGCAAACCCAGAGTGCTGGTGAGCTTGCAGACTCTTACTTCCCAACCATAAAACAGATGGGGAGAACCTAATTTGGGAGGAAAGGGGCTGGTCGGAGGGCTGGATAATGACAGTGGAGGGAGTCAGAATGTCATTACTCAGATGGGCCAGATGGTGCCAGAGGAGATGACCTGTAACTATGCGTGTCTGTCCCCTCTGGGACCTAAAGAGTCCCTTACAAGCATGCAAACCAGTCACTCACCCAGTTTCTTGGAGTCGGATTAGGGTCATTCCCCACCCTGCTGATGAGAAACCAGGTGCCAGCGGAAGGTTCCTGGCCTGTCCGTTATCAACCAACAAGTCCAGGGCAGGGATAGAGTTAGAGCATCAAAGCTCCAAAGACAAACTGCCTGACTCCGTCACTCTTTCAGCCAGGACGTGAACGTTGAGTAGACCCAGTCCAAAAAGAAAGAAACAGGAACACAGGCTCTGGACTCAGATTGGCCATGAGTCTCATTTCATGGGTGAGAGATATATGACATCACGTGGAGAGGACGAACATGAGGTTCAGAGTCAGAAGGAGGCATCCGAGCTCCTGTTGCGTCACTTCGTGTTTGATTTTCCACCAAATTAATTAAACTTTCTGAACCTCCAGGTTTTCATCTGTAACATAAATAGAATAGACTAGAATAATCTAGAGTATAATCATCCATGGTATAATTGTCTATAGTATAATCATTTATAATATAATCTGAGAGGGTTAATAACATTATATGCGTGACATGAGCTGGCTCCATTCAGTTTGCCAATGAGGTTCCCTAGTCCTTGTGTAAGCAGGGTTATTTGGTCCCTCTGGGAGGGACCTGGCCCACATGTGAATCTAGGGGGAGACTGAAGCTTTAGGATACCTCAAGGCCATATTCCCCCAAGCGATGAGATCAGAAATAGAGCATATGGCTGAGAAGGTTCTGGTTCAACCCAGAACTTCAAAGACTGTCAAAAATGAATGAACTCTAAGAAAGGGCATTGTCTTGAATAACTTTGCCTCTTTGCAGCCAAAAAGTGCCCTCGTGTAGGCAAAGGTCCCAGGAGAGCAGAACACTGACTGTGCCTTCCTATGTTAACAGCAGCGACCGTAAGGAACTTAGATTATGTCTCCTTCTCTCCAGGGAACACCGTGTATGCTTGTGTCACTCATCCAAACAGGGTGAGTCCTTTGAGCTGTATACTCCATCATTGGTATGATTTTTATGGTCTTTGCTCGCACACTTGTCACCACAATGATGATGTACGTGGGACCTAGCTAGCCTCCAGGGCTCTCGTCCCATGGTGCGTTTGCTCATACGCTGCTTTACATGGTCCTCTAACTGCGTGTTGCATCAGTGAGTCTTGTCCCTTTTCAGCTTAATTACAAGCTGCCTGGAGTGAAAAGTATATGGTCCTCTCTCTTTCCTGAAGTACACTGCTCAGTAAATACTTGCTGAATGGATCAGAATTCAATTACATCTGAGAGTTTCCAGAGCAGACAATTCTGAAGCAGGGGTTTTCTCGCCCTGGATGTAGTGGAAATAGGGGAACTCAGAAATGGTCTCTCAAGAGGGGAAGTGGGGCAAGGATTTGCAACAGTAGAAGACAGTAAAGGCGTGAAGAGCCTCCAACCCTTTCCTCCCGTCTGCAACACAACAGATGGCCTTGGTCAGCCACCAGGAACTCCTCTGCCACACCTCAGCAAGTTTCCACCACTCCCAAAGTAAAGCACCTGCAGGTGGACATTTCTAAATAACACCATACATCTTCTGAAAAGCAAGCCAAGATAACTCAGCATTCGCCAACTGATGGGTGCAGTGATCCAGTTAGAAATCTGAGATTCCCTAAGAACATGTCCCCCCACACAGCCCCTCAGTTATTTACAGGATAGGCTCCCTGAAGGGGGGGGACGAGAAGGGCATTCTCACTGGTTCAGATGTTTCTATTGCCTTTCCAATTCCCTCTTGAAGACAAGATGAATCAGCAAACCAATGAATTAATTTCCAGTGAATTTGCTAACTTCTTCTTTAGCAAAAATTGTACTTTGGAGAGTTCCAGGCTTTCTGATAATACCCTAAATATTCCTTAATTGATTTTAAATGTCAAAACTTAGGGGCACAGGGGACTTTTCCTGTTATCGTTGTGCTTTGTTTTCCAAGCAGAGCCGTTCTTAGGTCCGGGTGTTCCTCCTACGTATCAGTTGTCCGGGCTTGAGGAGAACCCAGTGACATGACGACCAGGCAGTTTGAGTCATAGGGACAAACTGGAGCAAGCAATACTCCAGTCAGAGCTAGTAAGATCTAAGACAAAAGACGCAATGCTTCTGTACCACTTCTGGTATGGAAGTCAGCTCTTAGGACGGAGGAAGGTAGAGCTGGATGCAAGAAAGCATGCTTCCTTTTCTTCACACCAGCTGCCAACAAGGTCGCCTTTCTGTCCCTTTCTGGCTCTTGAGCCACTGGTTTGCTGGGGTGTCGTGCTTCTGTGTGGGCCTCAGGAAGTGTCACTAAACCTTCTCAGGTTTGAGAGCTAGAGGTGTTTGGTCTCCAGCTCCTCTTGCTGCACAGTCTCTAGCCTTTTCTTCCTGAAGAACTTTCACATCATCCCCGTGTCGCCTTGTCTTCCCTGGGAACATATCTATGCGTGGATACCTGTTCGTCGGGGTGAACCAAATGCGTATGATTATTTTTTACAGCAAACGAATACCCCAACACCTGGACAAAGTGGTGGTCTCTCCACCATTTACTCCACAGTTCATCAGTCCAAAGAGGTAAGCCCACTACTGTCCCCTGTCCTCACATCTTACCTCTCTCCCCGGGCTTGTAATTTTACAAATAAAGTCAAAGTAAAGGGGCCATTCTGTAGATACACAAATACCAGCAGGATATAAGAAGTCTCAGGACATCACCAAAATATACCCAAGAAATTGTCTCGTATTTTAGGATCACCTCCCATAACTGAGTTTTCAACATACCTGAACTTAGATTTTTTTAATTCAATTTTTAATTTAACTTTGCCTTAGCTCTCAAGCCAGTTAGTGCTCCCCAGACCTCCTCTATAGCCATGAGAGGTACCCTGAGGCTCCGGTCCCTACTAACCTGCTTCATTTTCCTCTTCTTTCCATTAGAGTAAAACTATTCATTCTATTCATTCTGGGAAAGCTCCCCTTGACAACATCATCTAAATTGCTGAGAGGTCTCGAAAGGAACTCAGGAATGACACAGCTTCTCCTGATCCCAGGGGATAGAACACAGCTTGGTTTCTGCCTGTCAACAAAATTCGAATATTTAGGATTATCGCTTCCAATTCTTCTGACCAGAACCTGCTCAAGTACGTCAAACATCTAAGGAATAACATCATTTCCAGCGTGTGATCCAAATTACATTTTCTAATCTGCTCCAGGGCAAAACATGCTTCTGTGAACAAGTCTGGACTTTGACTTTCTCCTTGGCAACTGATGGAGATGTGCTTGACAGAGAGTTATAATTTAGAGGACAACCACTCCTCTCCTTTTATGAAGCAGCAGGATTTTGATTCACTAGGAGAGAGTACAGCGTCTTGGTTACCTAGGTTGTCTCTGGAATTGGATGGGCCTGTTCCCAAATCTTCATGTGTCATTTACTAGACATACCTCCTGGGACATGTTCTGGAACCTCCTGAGCTCTGGTCTCCTAACCTGGAAAATGGGAATCCGCCTGGTACTCAAACCAGGAACCGCAGTTAGCCCTCACATCAGCTGTTCTATCAGCACACCCTTTGGACTCTACCTCCAAATATATATCTTAGACCAAACCACTTCTCTCCAAACCTTTAACCTCCACCCCATATCAACCCACCATCATCTCCAACCCAAATACTACAGTAAGCTCAAAACAGATTTCCCGGTTTTTGCTCTTACTTCCCTTTGGTCCACTCTCTACGAGACAGCCAGAGTAATGTTTTTAATATAAATCAGAACCTTCACTTGTCTGCTTAAAACTGACCCTGCAAGACTTGCCAGGCACTTAGAAAGAAACTGAGTCTCCATGGCTCTGGGTGGCCCATCTGCAGCCTCGGCCATCAGCTCTCCCCACATCCCCCTCTCTGATCTGGCTTCTCTGATTCTCTTTCAGCCCCTCCAGCAGAGGAGACAGTTTACTCACATCTGCCTCAAGACCCTTCTTTGCCCGCCCGGCTCCTTCTTACTCTACAGGTCTCAGTGCATATATGTCAACCTCCAAGAAAGACCTCAGACACTGTCACTGAAGTGGATGCCCGTTTCTCTGCTACGTCTTCCATGTCGTCTATCTTATGCCATTAAATATTTATTTTTATTTAATGTCTGTTTCTCCTGCTCTACTGTATGTGCTCTGGGAGCAAGGACCATGACGATTTTATCCTTGTAGCCTGAACACCTGGCACAGTATCCAGCACATAGAAAATGTTCAACGAATACTTTTTTAATAAATAAAGCAATATGTGCTGCAGTTTTGTGGTAATTAAAGACAATGCGCTTACAGCCCTCGGTGTAGTGCTTAGTGCATGAAAGAGCTCGATAAACGTGAGCATCACTGTTGTGCTGTTGTGGTTTCTTTTCTTTTTAAGATTGTTTATGTATTTATTTGACAGAGAGAGAGAGAGAGAGCACAAGCAGAGGGAGCGGCAGAGGGAAAGGGAGAGGCAGGGTCCCCACCGAGCAGGGAGCCCGACATGGGGCTCGATCAACAACTTGATCAGCAACTGAGCAGCCCAGGAGCCCCTTGGTGCTTCTGTTGTGCAACTGCATTCCTTTCGAACTAACAGAATCTTCTCACAAACATGCCACCCAAGAAAGGAGGAAGGAAAATGGTGCCTCGGTGGCCCAGTCGGTTAAGTGTCCGCCGTATGCCGAGGTCATGATCCCGGGGGTCCTGGGATCGAGCTCCACGTTGTCCTCGGGGAGTCTGACATCCTCTGTGACCTGTTTCCATATCATTTCCTACCTTTTCTTCTCTGCTCAAATTTTAAAATTTCATTCTTTGATCCCCAGGGAAGAATTTTCTGATTTTTTTTTTTTTGGTAAGTCTGAAATCTTAAAACAAAAATTTTTTTTCCAACAGTTTATTGAGGTATGAACGACATACAAAAAGCTGTATGTACTTAATGCCACAACGTCATGGGCTTGAAGGTAAGGAAACACTCGTGAAACCATGACCACAATCAGTACCATAAACATAGCTGGCACCACCAGAAGGTTCCTCTCACCTCTTTTATTTTTAAATTTTTTAGTTTTCTGTATGAGAAGAACACTTACCTTAAGACCCATCCTTTTAGCAAACTTTTAGGTATGTAAGTCGACATGGTTAGTTAGAGGCGCTAGGATGCTTAGTGACCTCTGGGACTTACTCCTCGGGCATAGCTGAATCTGCACACCTTGCTCCTCACTTGGCAGAGGCGGCGGGGTGCTGAGTCTGGCCCATCCTCCCCAGAGCCGGATGCAGCCTCCGGGATAACAGTGCAGCTCCTGCATCCTCCTTCCCTGCTCAAGGAGGCAGCCCTTACGTGCGTTCCCCCATCCCGCAGGGCCAAGCCACTGGGAGCGAGCTGTGTGCTGCTATAGGGCCACACATGGGGTCCCGTCCGTGGGGGCCCCTTGGGACGCTGTCTGCAGGGCTCCACCCATGGGCCAGCTGACCACCTGGTCCGCGGGCTGGTTTTGCAGATCCGCGTGTCACCTGCCCTGAGCCCCAGCTTCTTTCCTTTGTTCTCAGCTGCGCCTCAATGAGGCAGAAATGCACGTTCTGTAAGCATTCTGGGCAACAGAAGCGACCCTCTCAGGAAGGCTGGGGAGGCGAGACACTCATCTCACTTTCTGTGTCTCCTGTGCGGGGAACCCCAGGCCCAAGAGTCTCTCCGGGCACTGAGCTGTGCCAACTGGGGGAGTGGGTGACATAAGTAAAGGAAACTTCTCACCCTTTGCAATGGAGCTGTTCTCAGATTCTGTGCTCCACTGGGGTGCTAGGACCTCTCCACGAGACCCTGGAGCACTCATAAAAGTATATCTGTCCATAATTGGCTGCTAATTGGTGTTCCTTTGGGAGGACAAGTGCTAGGCCCTCTTATTCCATCATTTAGCCGATGTGACTCTAATACATCTTTTCTCAATGTGTCTTTTTCTGATCACAAAAATACATGCTCATTATAAATAATTCAAACATTCCACAAACAAAAATCCCCTACAATCCCCAAGATAACTGCCACAAATGCTTCCCTATTAAAAGAACAACTTCTTTACCAGAATGAATTTTTTTTTTTTTGCTTATGAATATCTCTTAAGGTGTACTTAGCTGACTCAGTTTGGTGGAGCCTATGACTCTTGATCTAGGGTTGTGGGTTAGAGCACCATGTTGGGTGTGGAGGTCACTTAAAATACTTTTTAATCTTAAATAAGTTTCCAATATCAGAACATATAGTTGTGCTACATTTTTTTTTGCTTTTGATTAATTTTTATGTTTTATCTACAAATAGTTGAAAGTCAAATAGTGCTTTAAAATGCATACAACTAACTACAGTCTCTTATTTTATATTCATCTCTTCCATACTTCCCCTTCTACACACACACACACACAGACACACACAATCTATTGACTTCTTATCTATTTAGATTCATTCTTTCCTTGCTCTACCCTCCTAATATGAAGACAGCTCATTTTTGGCTGAATACCTATGCAAATGCTTTCATCATTATGACCATGGAAAATACTGTTGATTGCTGAGCCAAGAACTGACTATGATTACATTTCCCCCCTTGTGCACTTTTAGTTTGTCATGGAGTTAATTGCCTCGTTTTCCTTTTTGCTTTGTTTTCTCTGAACATCTATATTCCCATGCTCTCCATTAGCTCTGTAAAAGCGATTCTCAATATAATTTTCCACCTAGTTAATTGTGTTAAATAATTTATCAGCTTTATGTCTACTAGAGGCATCCCTACTGGGGCATCTGACTTCCTATTCCACCCTGAGCTAGTTATTTTTTTTTTAAGATTTTATTTATTTGTTTGTTTGTTTATCAGAGAGAGAGATTGAGAGCACACAAGCAGGTAGAGTGGCAGGCAGAGGGAGGGGGAGAAGAAGGCTCCCCGCTGAGCAGGGAGCCCAATGTGGGACTTGTTCCCAAGATCCTGGGAACATGACCTGAACCGAAGGCAGACGCTTAACCAACTGAGCCACCCAGGCGCCCCTGAGCTGGTTATTTTCTATGCCTGATGCAAAGTCATTATCTTGAGGTTCCTTTCGCTATCACCCTTGACAATCCTTTTACCTGTCTCCTCTGTGAGATACCCCAACTTTTATATCCCATGATTTCCTTTATATGTTTCTGAATATTTTTTTAAAGATTTATTTATTCAAAAAATAAATAAAATTTTTAAAAAAGATTTATTTATTCATGAGAGACACAGACATGGGCAGAGGGAGAAGCAGGCTTCCTGCAGGGAGCCTGACACAGAACTTGATCCCAGGACCCCGGGATCATGACCTGAGCCAAAGGCAGACCCTCAACCACCAAGCCACCCAGGCATTCCTTTCTGAATTATTTAAATAGCCGCAGTAATAGTGTGTTGTTTTTTATTTTAAACCAACAAAATTCTTCTTAAATTTCAAATCCATTTTTAAAGTTAAACACAAAATTTTAAGCAGGCCAGGACTGTTGAGGAGAGAGAGCCTATGTGCTGGAAACTATGTGTTGGAGACCAGCTCTTAAGACCTCAAGATTCAGGGGGAGGGGATGGGGGAGCTTGAATAGGAAATAGCCAAAATAGTGGCTACAAGCAATAGATGAGTCAAACGAAATTCATCCAAGTTAAATTACTCTTACACACTGGCTGTCAATTACATTATCAGTCAGTGGAATAGGACAAGACCAAGAAAATTTGATCAAGAAGAAGGAAGGACTTCTAGGAACAGAGCTGTGGAGGCATTAGAGGAAAGAGAAGAGAATTATTGCCATGCCATGCAAGCTTAGAGGAAATCTCTTTGGGTAGGTAAAAGAGTGCCTTCCACACCAAGGGGACCAACCAAAAAAAGGAAGACTTCCTTCAGAGGGAAAGAACAATAATCTGTGAAATCGGGGCAGGTAGAGAAACATTTTCAATATCGAGGATGCCAAAAACCAGCCAGAAAATTAGAGATCATGTCATGGAAGGGATGCTAATCCATCTAGAGCAGGAAGTCTACAAGCATCCACCCTGAATCTGGATAGCACTGGGGAGGGTCAGTACTAAAATGAGAACCAGACATGCTCCTGAATATCTAAGAAGTGGGGAAAAAAGCTTATAAGAAAAACTAAGCTGACATGTCACTATAGACCAGGTAACAAAATACAGCCTTCTTGATCTTTATATTTCCTTAAACTTTTAAACATCCCCCATATTTATTATCAGTGCCACACTCTCTTCTCTTGGCTTCTGTGATACCACATTCCCCCCACATTTTCCTCCTTCTTTACCAGCTGCTTCTGTTTCCTTCCGAATCTCTTTCTCCTCTGCAGGACCAGTAAAGAATGGAGCTGATGTTCAAATCGGGGCCCCTTTCACTTCTTTACCACATGTTCTTGCATGACGTCAACCATCCCAGTGGTCTTAATACTGTTTATATGCTAATGATTCCCAAATCTATATCTTTAGGCTTGGCCTCCTGGCTTACAGCACTAACTGCCTATTTGGCATCTCCACTTAAATGTCTACCGCACATTTAGGATGACAAAAAAGAAAAAGAAGAAACAATTTTGGATTTCCTTCTTCAAGGCTCTTCTACTACTCTTTCTTGTATCAGTAAATGGTACCATTGTTATGGGACACTCTCTATCAGCTCCCCTCTACAGGCGTGAAGACCACCCAACACTCACCATATAATTAATCATTTTTTCCTTTCTGGTGGGGAACAAAAGGAATTAGCCAACTGTAAGTAATCTATTGTTATGAAAGTAAACACATTAAGACCTGGATGCCCCATTCCCAAGAGACAGAAAATGCATTTTGCAGCCAGGGAAGAAAACATGCAGTGCCTACAAAATTCCTACAAAACGAAAACAAAAACCTTTCTTTGTCCAGAAAGTAAGCTTGTTCTTCAACGTTTTCATTGCAGAATGGAGGAAACTGCACCACCATTAAGCTGCTTTGGTTGAGGGAAGAAGACGGTGATTAGTTGTCCTAGAAAAATCATGAAAGAGAAGTCCTCTCCCCTTTTAAGCAACCCCCAGTGACACCCACTGGCA